GATTAATACGATCGGCTGCAGGATTTCACCTCCCTAAAGGCCTTCCCACACTAAATACGTCGATGTCCGTTGCGATGACGTACGACTAAAGTATACGTTCAACGCAACGTACACAGGTCCCACACTAAATGCGTTTATTGGTTATCCGTCAGCTAAAAGCTAACTATAAATTATAATTATTTCTATCTAACCAACAACTTACTAATCTTTCACTTGGGAATTGATTACAAAATGTACAATGTATTACTGGCTTATTACTGCAGTTACCTACTATATTCCTTTATCTGATTGTTTGCTCCATCACCATTGCATGCAAGTCACTACTTTTAGTATTAACACTAAACAGATATTTTTGAATAGGTAAGACGTGTTCTGTGTGTGTCTTAACTTCTTAAGATTTAGTTTATTCAATTAAATTTTTAAAGTAAATATAAATAATAAATAATAAATATGACGTTATGTACGCGATCTAAACGGCTATTGGCATTGTTATTATTAATAAGAAGAAAGAAAAAATATACATTAAAGAAAACTAGACTTTGGGTACATTCTATGAATCAAACACGATCAGAAAACGGAGAATTCAAAAAATTATGTGTTGAACTTGAATTATATCCAGATCGATATTTCAATACCTTCAGAATGAACAAAGATCAATTCGATATTTTATACACTCTTTTAAAAAACTCGCTTTCTAAAAATGATACAAATTTTAGAAAAAGTATACCCGATAAAGAACGACTTGTAGTCACATTAAGGTAAGATACGTATTTATTATTTTATTTTTAATTTATTATACATTAGTTGTAGGTATATAGGTACATTATTTTCTTATTCGGCATAATATTCGATATAATTATATAAACATAAAAATTTATTAGAATTTATAGAAGTGTACCCATTAATTTTGCGAAGAATAATGATTATACTCATGAAACCCATTGTCCGCGACCGACATATTACTTTGAGAATAATCCATTGCTGATGATTTTGCTGTGTTAAGAGGAGTTAAAATCGGTGCATAAACAGACGAGTAGGTGGAATGCCCTGAGTTGCTTGAAAAAGGCGAATTTGAATAATTATTTACAAACTCAACATCAAACAAAACTTGTTGAATTTTTATTTTTGCAATAGCATTTTGTTTTGGTGTCATACGTTTTAATGTCGGAAGATAACTTAATAGAAATTGTTCATCTGCATCATGTTCTTTGGAAATAATATTCAAAATTTGTTCATCAATATTATCTTCTGGTGCTTCATTTTTACGCTTTTTAGTAGCTGAAGAACATTTATTTATACGTAATTTAATGTTATGTTCAATTTGTTCATTGCAACGTTCTGGAGTTGTTGACACTTCATTGATAATATCTGATTCTCTTTCCGGACTGTTAATTCTTTGTTGATTACAGATTTCAGAACTTGAATAATTCCCAATAGTCCTATAACATATTAAAAATAACGAAGTTAATATAATTTTGATTGTTACGCAAAATAATTTAAAAATTTTAATTTAAAAAAAAAAATTATAAACTTACTCTCTAAACTCTATATATGGAATCAAAAATGTCATTTGTGAATAATATAACCATTTCGATTTTTTCCCTCCTCCAGAACCACTAGGTTGCTTTTGATTTTTATGCATTTTTATAAAAGTATCTCTCAATGACCGCCATCTCTTTTTTACTGTATTGACATCTACAATTTATTATAACATATAAATATATTATTATGTTTTTATATTGATTGGTTTTTGAGACATCATAAATTATTCCTAATTTACTTTTATTAATTTCGTTTTATAGATATTTAGCAACCGGTGCATCATTTCGGGATTTAGCATACCGATTTCGACTTGGGGAATCAACCGTTAGTAATATTATTAAAGAAACATGTAATGCCATTTCAAGTGTACTCAAACCATTATTTATGCCACAAATTAACACCGAAGAAAGTTGGAATAAAATAGCTCATCAATTTTATTCTAAATGGAATATTCCAAATTGTGTTGGAGCTGTCGACGGAAAGCATGTTTCAGTTTTTTGTCCAAAGAAATCGGGTTCTTTATATTTTAATTATAAAGGTACATTTTCAATCGTACTTATGGCAGTAGTTGATGCGGATTATAAGTATATTATGACAGATATAGGTGCGTACGGACACAATAGCGATGGTGGTATATTTTCACATAGCAATTTTGGAAAATTATGGTTGACAGATAATCGTTCAACTTTAAATGTCCCGGAATTAAAAAAGTTACCAGGTACTGAAATAAGTGTTCCATTAGTTTTAATTGGAGATGAAGCATTTCCATTAAAAGAAAATATATTAAGGCCTTTCCCTGGAAAAAAATTATCAGAACGTGAACGAATAACAAATTATCGAATATCTAGAGCTCGGCGCGTTGTAGAAAATGCTTTTGGCATTACAGTACATAAATGGCGAGTGCTTCTTAAAAGAATTGAAGTTAATGCAGCTTTTGCAACAAGTATTACATTGGCATGTTGTATTCTTCATAATTTTCTAATTGTTGAAAAAAAAGAAACACCTTATGACATTTCAGAAACGACTGAAACCCACACTACAATAAGTGAAAATCAACAATTACATACAGTCAGATACAATAGACCAACTAAACGTGCAATGGATGTACGAAACCATTTTGCTGATTGGTTTATTTCACCTGCCGGAGAAGTTCCATGGCAGTATGAATATATCAATAAATAATATACTCAATTTGTGTTTTATTAAATATATCAATGAATTAAATATAATTAGGTATATAAATATAAGTAGTTAGGTAATAACATTATTATTTTATATATTTGTTTAACTTGTACAATAAAAAATATTATTGACAAACATTCATATATTCATTATACTTATTGATATGCGGATATTAAAAACTTACCGTCATTTTTAAGCTCATTGGCTACTTCCTTCCATATTTCTTCTCTATATGTGGCATTCTTATAAGTTCCCAAACTTTTGTCATACAGTACTGGCCTCTTCTCGACTTCAACTATTAGCTGTTCTTCCATATTTAAAAAAATATTTGTAATAATATATATTTTTTAAGGAACTACTGGACCACACTTCTTAAAACTTAAAATGTATATTATGTTCGTATGACACAATATTTTAACTACGTTCAAAGTAACGGACTAAAATAGTTTTGTCCGTAGTGGCGTAGTCAAAGTATGGGTATCTACTATCTACTGATTACATCATTGGGAATACTGTGTTAATTACAAATTGTGAAGATAAAACTATTTTAAAATATTAATAAAATATGGATCTATTCGAATGTCGACGCATTCAACTGATAGCAATTTTATATCGTACGTCGACGCGCCGGACGGACGTACCCGACTTTTGACGCGTCGTACCTGGTGTGCGGATTCGTATTTGAATACGTTAAATTCAAAAAGAGTACGTTGACGTACGTCATCGCAACGGACATCGACGTATTTAGTGTGGGAAGGCCTTAATGTCATCAATTCCTATTTGAAATCCCAACACCAGACAAATGTCGTTAGGTATCGTTTTATACATTTTTAGATTTTTTTCATTTATTGAAGTT